CCACAGCTTCGAGAGGGTCGACAGAAATCGACGATACCTTGATTCGAAGGTGGAAATGAAACCCTGTTTTCCCTAGAGTCACGATTGAATCCGTCTTGGATCGTTTCATTCAATCAGCAAGTTGAATATACTCGTAACTTCTCCAATACTTGGAAAATACTTTGCCAAGTCAGTAGATCAAAGCAAAATCATATTTGCAAAATAAGAATTGTTAAATACAAATTATGCATATTTCAATTTTTTTTAAAATCTATCTTCAAATTTCAGCAGTTATCAATTAATTTTGTCAGGCGTTATTGTCGAGAAAATAAGGCAAGGGGTTAAAAGGATCGATCAAAGAAATCAAAAGGGGTTCACCGATGAATTATTGATCAGTACGAAATTAAAAAAGAAAGAAGGGAGGGACTGTTGTTCACGTGTACCTATTCTAGATTATATCAGCGCCACCCTATCAATTTCCACCCTTGAACAATATCTGGCAAACGGGAAGATATCGAGTGGCATGGAGGGGGTGGGATCCCTTATGTGTCTTGTCGTATTATAAAATATTGACATGCATACTTCGTTCACGGTGGATATTTTAGGTGACGTAGAACTTCTATGCCAAGCTGGATGGGGACAGCTTTAATAATATAGCAGACGATTTTCAGGTTTTCCTTGAATGTTTTTCATTCCGGGCCTCCTCCGTTCGCGGGTGCAACCCCTCGATTCTTCCCTTTGCACGAAATGTATCACCGTTGTCTTCCTTAAAATCTGCATATTGGAAACATTGCGAATTTCCTTATTCAATAATTTTTTAATTTTGCCAGAGTGAAATCTGATCTTATCATGGTACCTAAAGATTAAATACAACAAGTGTCCTAAGACTGCCAGTAGGTCATCTTAAGCCAATTTCTGGGTCGTGCAATTTAGCGTGGACGCAAGATATCCCAAAGAAAAAAAAATATGGCATCTTATATGGTCGAAGGACCAAGGACGGTAGTCATCGTTGCGGTATCGGCCAGTCGGGTCCCTTCAATAACCTCGATACAAAATTCTTTTCACCGTTGCCCTGAATGCCTATAGGAAATATGTGAAAGGCCGTCTGATTCAGACGGTCCAGTGTTGGCTCAGGCCTTTCTGTGCCTGTACGGAACGGTCGGCGTTTGCAAGGCGTCTATAAGCCACGGGCTGCCGTAATGAAACATAAATTATTCAATCGAAATCAGCCGCGTGCAGTGGCTACCAGGCGGCCCAGTGTTTTTTTCCGCCGAAAACGGCCTTTAAACCGAACCCCTACAAGCTTCTGGCCAGAAGAGAAAAAGGGGGCCGAGGCAACAGCCGGCCTCCTCTCTCTCGGATCTTTTTCTTTTCTGCATCGCTGCAGACTACTCGTTCTGAACGATTTTACGTTTTCATGGGCCACGTGCCGTCTCTCGTGTTTGCGCTCGTTTCCCGCTGCCGCGTAACGAATCGAAAGAGTGCGCTTTTTTTTTTTTCTTCTTTTCCTTTTTCCTTTTTTTTTTATTACGGACCGGTTTGATTGAGCTTCCGCTTTCCTCGTTGCCTCGCGAGTACACCACGCAGACGCGAGCTTCGGTTTTTAATTCGAGGGCCAGGCTTAATTACGGTTAGATGAGCGAAGCTTTTTTTCACGGTGGGCTACGTTTATCATGCAAGTGAGTGACAGGAAACTGGACGAGTGCAAAAGTTACCATTTCCTTTTTTTTTATTAGTATTATTTGTACGAATATGGTGAAGATGCGTATGGATATTTGGAATTATTATTTGTACTCATATTATTAAACGTACCAATATCATTTTAAGATATTCGGTTAAAAAATATGGTAATTATCCCAGTCTTCGATGATTTTCCCTCAAGCCCACGTGCACCCTGTAATTAATCCTCGTACTCTCGGACAAAACGTCTTTGTCCCTATCTGACCGCGTCCAGTATAATCTTTACGCGACGGCATGTTCGTTCCATAAAACACACGGTGTCTCATCGCTTGGAGTGCGCAATATGACTTACCGAGGACACGTATATAGATTTTTATGCAAATTCTATTGATATCCGATCGTAGCTGACGATAGCGCACGGAACCTACACGTCGCGTTTATTGTGGCTGGTAGAAAACCGAGTGCACCACGTGACACCACCACGTGACAGTACAAGCGTCATTATCTCCAACGCTATTGGACGTTGCCGGTCGATTGGTCACTCCGATTGGTCGACATAGGGGTTGATCACGATTAACGTCGTTCGCTCCGCACGGCAGCCTTTTATCAAACGTATGTGTTTTAGAAATTATACGTACCGTTGAATTTATCGAACGATACGCCGTCGAAACGAATGGTGGGTACTGGCGAGCAATTCTTGAACCATTTCAACTTTCTATCGTCAAGTTGCTTAAATGTACCGTACGATTCAATAAATTCCCTTTAAATGCAGTTCTTATTCAAATACAAAGAAATTTAATGTTTCACCGTACCGCGATATCGCTGTTTAAATGTATACCTTAGTTGTTACCCAGTGGTCGCACGTGCAAAGCGATTTTTCTTCTTTCGGCGACGGCAGGTGCGTGACCCAAGGTGTGCGATTACCAGGCCGGCGCGAAACTCGGACCAATTTGAAATATAACCCCCTCGTTATTAATAAAATTTGCATTTACAAGGGCGAGAAAGTGTCACGGGACGACACGCGGACCGCCCCGTTAGGCTTAAGTAGGTTCCTCACGATTACGTCCGCGATCCGGAACTAACGACCTCGATAGATACAACTGTTTCACAAATTTCTTTTCTTAGTTTAATTATTACGTTCCTTACTAAACATGCAGATGCGATGGAAATCAAACTTAATCTAATACTGGGATACGTTAGATTACGTTACCAATCGAAAATTAATCTATCAAAATTACCCAAATTAAAATTGCCGACATTTATTTTTCCAAAGCTCGACGAATTAACTCAGCCATCGTGGTGGATGTCTTTGAAGGCGAGGCTGACGTCGAGCATAGAACCGGGCCGGTTGAACGTAAAGGCTGTTGGGGTTTGATTACTCGTTATCGAGGTAACTCTACCGTCGTCTGGCATCTGATAAAGGCTCGCGAGTAATTATTAATCATAGACCGGGCCGTATAACGATCCATCCGACTCTTATCTCGGTGTCGAGTGATGTATGCAAGTGGCCGAGGCCCTGGTGCTACGACCGAAGGGGGAGGATGGGTGGCGGTGGTGTACACCCCGTTGACCGGGGTGCTGCACGGTGTTCCTCGTCGCGTTGCTGGTTGCTACTTGGTCGCTGGGGGTTGCAATACTTCACCAAGATAACAACTAATAATCGATAGTGGCATTGCCAGGTACGCAGCCAGGTACATGTACATAAGTGCGGTCTCGAAAAGACCTTACACCCCTGCCCTGACTTGTTCCACTCCCTCCCCCCACACCCTAGCCGGGTGCAAGTTGCATCGGTGGGTAGTCTTGCCTTTTAGCCACCCACAACCGCCCAATGGCTGCATGCAAGACGCTCGTAGGTCAAAGGTTGCGCGGTTAACTACTTCGTAAATTATAGTAAGGTTAACGGTAACTCCGCTGGCGCACCAGTTACGAATGAATAAGTCAGACACTGCGTATTCCTTGAACGGGAAAATTGACGATACCCACCGTTGGAAAACAACACGGATTTTAAACGTTTATCACCGCTTAATCTATCATGCGAATCATCAGGGATGACGAGTTGGCTCCTTCTGACATAATCGTGTCGTGCACACGTCTCTAGGAAGCAACTGTCGCTTGTTGCGCGGGGGGTGATCGGACGATAGAACGAAAACGTGAAGCACAGGGACTGGCTGGCGGTACCATTAGGCAGCGAAAGATAATGCATTACAATCGAACGCACGCAATAATGGCCTATCGTCGTTGCTCGATCGGCAATAAAATGTAAAATTTATAACGGCAATTATCTCGTGTCGTGTATCTAGGTGACGCTGTTTGCGAGATCTGCTTTCTTTCCTCCGTACTCCTTCTGTCGTTTTATGGGGTAACTGCCCCCGGTCATCGGCCGACCGGTCAATAATTAATCCATCGACGCGGTTGTGCGATTAGATACTCGGAATACAAAATATCTAGCTGCTTCGTTTCAGAGTTTTAAACACTCTGTGTATTCGAATGAGGAAATAAGAAATTGAAATCGAATTAAAATCGAACAAAAATTTACTCGCATAATTTATCCAACGTTTATCATAATCTGAAAATTTTTTTTTTTTTGAACCGTACAAGTAAGTACATGCATTCCGCTCAATAACACTGAAAAAGTTAGCTGGATTATGATGTATCTGCAAGTTTCAACCACGTCCTTGTATACTCCGAAATATAATTACTAAATATACTTACGATACTCCTTGAAACGTCGTTATCATTATCGCCCTGAACGAACAGTGGTATCGCGCGATACGAACTTCTCCGCTCTATCTGTACTGTGCAAACGATGATAATGAACTGCGCTTAGGAGGGTAATCGTAATATTCGTACGCCTTCTCGAAACGCGTCCTTTCGAGTTTCATGCTCTTAAGAACGTTGAAACATCCTTGGGGTCCCGTGGGGTGGTTCTACTTTACGATCCGCTTGTCCGCGTACTTTGCAGTCGGCACAAAGGACTACGCCACCTCGTTACGGAGGGAACAGTTAGAATAAAGTGTGATTAGGAAGATAGTTATGACATTTTGTATTATAATTCCGCGAGGGTAAAGTCTCCGTCTTCACTTTCTCTCACCTTTCTCCCCTTTCGTTTCTTTCCCTCCCCCTACATCCGGCAACCCCGTCGTCTCCCAAAAGACTCGTTAACATCCGTGCAAGTTTTCAATGTTGCCCAAGTAGAATTCCGTCGAAGCGATCGAACTCGAGACAAAGTCGACCGATTCGAAAGATTCGTGAGAAACGGACCAGGGGGAAAAGGAAAATGGCGAACCGTTGGTCGCCCGTATTTGATTGTTTAATTAGCAAGATGACCGGGTCTGTTTCAGGGTCTCGAAGGACGGAAACAAGCAAGTGGGAAGAAACCTTGTAGCCAGAGAATGTTAGGAGTCGAAGAAACGGAAGGAGATACAAGGTTTGTATCGGGTCGGTGACAGAGACAAACAGAAAGCTAGCGAGGGAGAGACGGTAGAGCGAATGTGTCCTCCTTCCAAGGGAGAGATACACTCTGAGGAAGTCTGAGAGGAGCGGGCTAGCTGGATTTCCGCTGTATAGGGGTATTAATCCCTGCCCTCAATTACCCTTTGTCTTGGGCGCAGCTTGGTCCACTTGTTAAGACACCGCCACTGTTTGTCTTGAGGAGCAGGTAAGGGAAGCGGTCGCGGAGGTCTGGCCTCTGTTTCGGTCGGTGCTTTACATACGTCCGTAAACCGGAGACGAACTGCTACCGGGAAGGACTACTGATCGTTGCGGTCTCGGCTGTGTTCTTGATAGAAGTTTCCCAGCAAAGTTCCTTGCCTGCATCGCGACTGCCTTGGGGAGCCTCCTTCTGCCACGCCGTCTTGATGCTCCCCGCCGCCTCTACGTTAAATCGATTTCGTTCCCGAAGGAATTCTTGATGTACATTGGTCCTACACTGGATTTGTTGCATCCTACTTTGACAGGTAGTTTTCTTAGACCTTGAAGGTAACGGAACTACCATAAATATTAATTTTATCATCTGTTTCAACTGTATATTTTATAATTTCAAGCTAAGAACTGAACGATCGGATTAGGTAATCGATATCGAGGTTGAAGGGTTGATCGGAGCATCGAAATTTCTTCGAGCAGCAAAACCGAAGAGTCAGGTAGCTCGCGGGCGTGAGCGGAAAGAGCGAAAGACTCAGGGGTGGGGCGGGCCGTGCAAATCCCGTGTAAACATTTACAATGGATTTGCGAGCTATTCAAACGGTTAAATTCTCTTAAGAATTTAGTTTGTACAGGGGTGGTGTGCCACAGGCGGCACCCTCCTTTCGCTACCCCAACGTTACTCTCTCTCTGTCTATATAGAAACGTTGGTGGTTCTTCCTTACCCCAAACTACGCGAATCGGTCTCTTTCCTTTTTCTCCTCGTCTTCGTCGCTCTATCTCGTCGCGATTCTCCCTCGGCTCTCTTACCCTTTGTATTTCTAACAATTGATATTCTTCGCAGTGTAAAGAAACGGACGGAGCTCCCTATCCCCTCCCTCCCTCTCTCTCTCTCTGTTCCTTCGTCGACCTGATGTCGAACAAATAATACGAGCGAAAAATCTGAGGAAATCACCGCCAAGGATAAATCTACCACCCACTTTTACCGGTGTCCCGGGTCTTTTGGGTTTCGCGCCGTATCTCTACACCCTTTACTTTTGTGTTTGGGGAAAACCACCATTTCTTATCAATCGTTGATCTGGGAATATTACAAGAATTTTTATTAGGAAGATTTTTTAGACCGTTGGTTATGAAACGTCAATATTCAGGTTTTTGATGCAGCGATATGGTGCCAATGAGAAATTAAAGTAGACGATCAGTCGGGGTGGAACACCCTCTCTCCAGAGTCAAAGTTGGACTACGAAAGGAATATGGCTTATTCGCGTGCCGCCGAAAGTTTCTCGCGTTGCATGCCTCGGCATTAATAATTACTTTACAACTGATTCCTCCTTTTTTCCATTTTATTTCATTTCTCAGCCGCTTGAGTCGCCGTGTGCATACGCGATCACCTTTTACTTCACATTAACACAGTCTGCGGTTGTTGGTTGTGCCGACAGTTTGATAAACATTGAATTCATTTTTTTCTTTTTTTCAATTTAAAAGCAAGAGTTTGTGGAAACTTGAATTCTGGATATACTCGTGTAATTTATAATTGACATATCTATTTCAAATTCATATTTTTTCGTTCTTCATCTTGAAATAACGTTCGCAACATCATCACTTTTCTCCTCTTGATCAGTTTGCTTTCCAAGGGGCTCCCTTATGTATGGAGCTGATTCTTTAGTTCGGAGTATAAGTTTGCGGTCTGAGCATACTTATGTCGTTAGGAAGATCACACGATTAGTTTGGCGTGCATGCAGCAAAGCAAGCCAAGCCTTGTCCAATCAATATCAGTATGAAATCCGCGAGCAATCGTGTGCGACCGTTCCTGGTGTCGCAGTTGCACGACAAGGGGCGCAATGCAGTGCTCGATTGCATCGTTGGATTAAAGTACGATCGGCGGGTCACGATATACCGCGATCAACTGATCGATGAAGGCCGGAACGCGATGACCTAAGAAAGCAAAAGCAGGGAAACTCGTCGTCGGTTATGCGCACCATTTCTCCTCGATGTCTAGTTTCTGTCCTCCTATCTTGCATTCTGAACATTTTTCATCCTGTGTTTACACGTGTGCTGAAACACGAAATCTACGTGTAAACCGGCCGAAGAGGAGTCGTTACGTTGATTCATCGTTTCCTAAATCGTTTCACATTCCTGTTGAATTATTCTCATGGAATTGATCTTGAATTCTAGGGTATCGTGAAAGGAAAGTAAATATACCTATCTCAAATTTTTATAATATAATCAAAAATATACAGATAAACTCAGACTATCTGAAATACTTAAAAACTCGTGTAGATCGTTACGTTGAACAATATGATAGAATTTATGCAAAGAAAGAATCCATGAAAAGTGAATAGATTTACGCTGAACCGCACTTTGTATCAACTTGTTGTACAATGTGTTTTTATCTGAACGCGATACCACGATTTATTAAAGGAAACCAGCTCTACCGTATAGGAAGTAATCTTTTGTTGTACGTCACTCTGCAGCCTGTTATTTTCAATGCAAGTTTTTTTCCATATCGGTCAGCGATTCTCGTGTACCTCTTTGCTAGAAATATGAATGTACTTTACAAGGTAGCTTGTTTCGAAGTTGATGTCGATAACCGCTGTATCGTGTTAGGACATCGTAATGTATTTTGCTTTTCTTCTTTTTCAATCAATTATAACATCAAAATGATTATAGAGGATGGAAATATTTTTTATGCTCGAATGGCTTACAGCAAACTATTTTGACCCATATTAAAAATATACAGTATTCATGAATATTAAAACAAATAATGCACTATGCAAAATGTCTGTCGTGGAAAGCGTTACTTTTATGTTCCATAATAGGAGATCTTCCAATTGTTTATATTTTATTTTATAATTGAATACGTTTAAAATTTAATGTGTTCATACTGAAGAAGATATCCAGTGTATAGAATGTTGAAAAATGAAGATATTCTTTAAAATATAGAAATATGCAAAGTGTCCTTTCATTTTGTCCACTAAGGACGCAGGACAGCGTCCGTACGGTAGTGACCCACAGCGGCGAGCTTTGCAAGCTGCGTCAGCGTACGAAGCGAAAGAGTGTGTTGAAAGCTGGCGTTCGTGATCCATAATGCGCAAGTGTTGGTACTGATGGTTGTGGCGGAGGTGGAGGTTCGTTTCGGAGGAGGTAGAGAACCGCGAGTACCTCGCCAGCACACTTTACGATACGTCGAATGACTAATACGTTGAAACAATAGGCTGTCGTCGGCCGCCCGATGGGACTGATGGTTGAGATGGGATGGGGGATGCGATGGTGGCAGTCAACGGGTTTTGGGGAGGAGGGAGGGATTCCAATGCACCACTTAAAGCGTTTCTATATCCGTGGCTTCGGGCGCCTATACGTACTTCCGAGCTTTTATCGCGGTTCGCTTCTCTCTCTCTCACTCTCTCTCTCTCTTTGCTCCTCTGACTGTGGCTGTGGTTGTGGCTCTGCCTGTTGACGAGATGAGTCGTTAGCATTACGATCATTATTAATGACGTAATTGTTATAAGGAAGTCAACTTTTCCATCGTCCCGCGTCATTACGCGTCGTTACGCGTCTCTCCCGTTGCCTCGTTATCGCATCGCAGCCATAATAGGGCACTCTAAGTTGCCGAGCCATCTGTTTTCCCCTCTTCTCGGGCTACAGGCGCGCGGCGCGGGCGAAGGGTTTTTTAAATCGTAAGCAGCAACATCGCGTCGATATTCAGTTGTTTGGGGGCTATAACGCCAGCCTTTTAACGCCTGAACATCGAACTTCCCTGTGTCATTGAAAACCAATTGTACAATTTGACGGTCCCGAGGAGGGCTGATTGTGCGCTTACAACAACCGTGTGTGTACCCCCAACGGGGCTATTGGGAATACTTAACGCGACGCCGACTTTTGTGCCGATAATTAGTATCCGCTAATTAGCGTTGTCTGTTTAACGCTATGAACTCGCTACGGCTGCTGCTACTGGTCTCTGATTTTTCTTTCCTTTTATTCTTTCTTTCTTTCTTTCTGCCCCTCCCCCTCCCCCCCCCGCCCATACCACCCCTTGCCCGTTTACCCGTTGAATTCCACACGGGGCAAGATCCGAGGCCGGCGTCAAAGGATGCCTGCCTCGCCGTGTAACATAATACACGCGTTTCCACCTGGCTGAAGGTGCTCCTGTAGTTTGATAAAGTCAAAGTTCAAAGTCCGCGGGGGTGTATGTGGTGTGAGAATCGCGGGAGAGGGTGATCCGGGGATGGTCGATCCCAGCCGACGGTGATTGCTTCTCCCCCTTGCCTGCCTTAAAATTGACGTCATATTCGTTATCCTTTCGACCCTTCTTCCATGCCATCCTCGCGTCTCCCGTGCCTCTGCCTGTGGGCATCTCTTTCTGCATGCGTATAAGCTTACATCAACCCTTCTCCACACGGCCACACCCAGTTCCACAGCCAGAGTACCTCGCAGCCAGGATTTGCTTGGCTGCAAATAAAAAAGTACTCCTTTGCTGCCGCTTTTTTCATTTCTTGGTATTTCATTTCGGTTGAAAATCGTTGCGCTCCAGCATCGGACCTTGGATCTACGAATTAATTCAATACCATCACCTACCATCCTGTCAGTGGTATAGTATTTTCGGTCTCGATTTTTAACACTCTGTGTCAAGGTACCGTACTTTTAATTTTCTACTAACTGTACCCAAGGAATTTTGGAAGAAACTGTGGAGGGTTAAGAAGTAAGTTTTGAGGTGAAACCGAACTGTCCACTTTGTCGTCACTTGGAAAAATTAAGAAGAATGAAGAATGAAGAAATCGTTGGAATGGGCAAGGATCGAAGCCGCTACAATAATTCCCGAGATAGAAGCGAAAAGAGAGAAGAAGGCTTTGCAAACGGAACACTGGCCATCCCTTACCACGATGCCGAACGACTCCCTTCTGAAAGAGCTTCCATCCCGGGAGAGAGCTTCCATTACTAATCCATGCAAAAACCAGAATATCTTTATCCCTCCGCATGCTGAGGACGTATTTCCGGAATAAATTCCATCGGTCGTGCGAGATCTCTCTCGTCTCCCTTTTATATCCTTCACGACCGATCAATTTACTTCGTTCGTCCGATGCATATTCAATTTTTTATTCTTTTAATTGCACCAATTCATCTGACCAACTGATCTTTTTTTCCTCGACCCTTTAATTCAACACCAAACATAAATAATTCCCGGAAAATGGTCCTGGGGAACAATACAGATTACCAAGAAGTTTATGCGAATGAACGATTTGAAATATGGAAAGATGGTGGATGGGACGAGATTCTGGAAATGCGTGTGTCGTCGAGGCAGTGGGCAAGAGGCGGCGAAAGGGTTGAGGGCTCGAGGAGAGACGGCCAAGGGGAGAAAGTGTAGGAGGGTGGATGGACTGAGGCAGCGGTCAGAGGGAACCTGGGGGGGATGTGGAATACGAATATGAGAATTAAAGCCGTCGAAGGAATTAAAGCGTATAACCATGGCGTGGATCTCGGAGCGGGTGTCTGTCCGTCCATCCGTCGGTCTACCTTGCTGAATTTCCGTTTATTCGTCTGTATTCCTGTCAGAGGATCTCTGAGCTGGACTGCAGACACCGGTTATCGGCTCAGCCACCTCCGTGCTCTTCTTTGCGCATGGGATTCTTGCAAAAATTATTCGACGGGGGAAAATTACATCCCTCTCTGTTCGAGTGGATGATGGAAGAAATTAAAACGTTCTTAACGGACGGATAAGCAATTAGGTAATTGCTCGCTTTTTGATCTTTTGCCTAGACGTTAGCAGCCTACTTGAACAGATCGTAGCTAAAATTAGTCGTTTAATCCAAGGTTTAGTCAGCTCTACGAACCGAATAGACATTTGTTTCTTTCTCGAGGGGGAGAAGGGGGTTAGTGACGGGCAGCAATGCTCGCAGATTCGTACGTTACAGAGTCAGCACTAGCACAGTTGGCCTCTGTAGCGACCGCACCTCTATATCAATCACCTAGCCGCTGGCTATCCTAGTCGCCCTTCGACGCCCATCACCCTTCGTTCACCCTACCATTTCTGCACGGCACACTACCACTGCCTCTGCCCCCAACATCCGTTCTAATCCACCTCCCTCTCGCTCTTGCTCTTTCTCCGTCTCCGGTACCTGTCTTTGTCCGCCGGTGTTCTGCAGGCGCCAGGCCGCGCACTGTTAACCGATGTTCAGATTGATAATTTATGACTGTTAATTATGACCGTGCGGTCTAGTGTCGGTATTTGACCGCGCGCGTAATCGCGATTTCCAGACTGCAGATTTCACTCGAAACACGAAGACGTCAGCTGATTTCTAAGGGTGTCTTTCGAAACCTGGTTGCTCTTTCAAAATCCGATCGTTGATCGTTTCTAATGTTTACATTTACAATTTTTCTTTGTGTCTAGCCTTGGTCGTTAGAAAACGTTGCTACTGTAACTATATCCTTAGCAGAGTCATTTCAATCGTGCCCGAGCAACAATGACACAGTGACGGTAAGCGGAACGTCATTTATCCCTTTTTGTACGAGGTGGAACGCGTTAGCAGGTTAGACGGCAGACAGTAGTCGGTAAACAAAAGCAAACGTACAGTGTCCCTACAGAGGACATAATAGTCTCGCATCGGCTATGAAGAATCGCAGCCCTCCGTAACTCATTGTAGTTTCTCCCAATCCCTGCGAGTACCGCGCGATTCTCGCCTGCTCGTGATCCCGTTCCAACCTCACCCCCCTATTGTCACCCGTTTCCTTCTTTTTTCCGAAAAAACTGGAAAAAGTAACGACGCTGTTTCTCACTAATCGTGCCGCGCCGCGTCGCGTCGCGTCCCGTCCGATCCGACGGAAACGCGTCGTTGCACGCGTGTTGTACACTTGGTGGATGCGATGGCGGGAGGAGGTTGGCGGAGGATAAAGCCGCGTGAACGTCGACCATCTATCTGCACTCTCTGCTCTTTCTCTTGGCCCCATTCAACTTCGACGGGAAAAGAAGGATGCGGGGTAGGCGAAGCTTAGTTGCTGCCTCATATCATTAAAATTGAGATATTGACAAAAGACTTTGTTATATATATATATATACATATATATAGATATAGCGATATATATATTTGATGAACAGCAGAGAGACTCTGGGGAGTCTCACAGATCAATGGGAATATTGAACAATTGTCTCTCTAGCTACGGCTAAAACGAGCGGCCAAGACAATCAGCCCTCTGCGAACAATGCGTAGCTTAATGACGTAGCAGCACCGTTTTCGCCGCGCATCACGCTCCCTTCCGAGTGTCCTGAATGCACCCCCGTCTCGCCGCTGAAAATATCATAATTAAAGTATTAGGCGACAGGAATCGTTTGGCACCCGTTGAAATTTCATTGCGTGACACCAATTGGGTCAAGAAAAAATATTGAACAAATTGACCCGCCAACAAAGAAATAGAAACTTTTAAAAAGTTGCAAGCGAAGAAGGAGAAAATAAAATTTCACGGGGTCGATCACCAGAATATGGTTGAAGGATGACCATCGAAGTGAAAGGACTGGAAGATAGGATAACGATCGGTGATAGGAGACAGTGGCACCGGTGGTTCTCCTTAAGGTTTGGTCTCCGCAGTGGCAATGGCATTGGCGGCGGTGTGTTTTAGGGATCAATAATTTATGTAAATGTGTACGCGGCAAGGGCGCTACCGTGTGGCGGTGAGTTACAGCTATGAGGATAAGGATGGGTGGGTGGGTGGTCTCGGATGGCGGTGGAAGGTGGTTATACGGGGGTGGTGGAAGGGTGGAGGGAAGGTTTAGGGGGTGAGTCGCGGTACGGTGGCGGTGGCAGACCGACTGAGGGTGGAGAAGATCGCGACACGAAGGGGTTTGACGTCCAACCCTTTCATCGATTGTACTTCTCTGCTCCCTTTTATCCCTTCGCCGTATATACCACCCTATCCTCTAACCCCCTTCCAACGGTGCTCGAGCGCGGCAAAAGCAGCCATCGACTAATGCTCGATAATTCCCGGCGCGTTTGTTCGCGCGAATATTTTCTCGACTTTCCAGTGTCGTGCCCGAATCGCCTCCTACTCGAACGCTCTTTTCGCGTATCTTTGAAATGCACGCCATCCTCACCCAACCGTCCCCCTCCCCTTTTTGCCACGCCGCGTTTTCCTTTCATGCCTTTGTTCTTGGGGAAACCGACGCGTATCCGTGGATAATATTTTCCAGCGGTTCTCCGCCTGTTTACGACGTCGCCTCGCGACGATCCCGCTGCATAAATAACAACGCGCCTCCGCTGTTGTGTGTCCATTTGTTACGTTGAACTAATTAGACCGGGTGAAATTATTTGCTCGTTTACTATATTTCTGTCTTTGTAATTTCCAACCCCTTGTTAGAACCAAGCGAACGAGGTGAGCTTGCGCTCTACGTGTCTCTGACATTTATGACACCGAACGATCATACGAGTTGCTGAAATCTTTGCGTCGCGACGTTTCGCGTATCGTCGGTTCACGATTTCGACCAAGCGTTCGATGTAGAAAATTTATAGAGTTATAGTTGACGACTCAAGTCTCAAGGATCGTTAAATTGGTTTCATTTTTCAAATAAAACTTCGATTAGAATTCATCAGTACACCTAATAAATAAATAAATAAATAAATAAATAAATAAACAGATCCTTTTAGTTGAGTTTGGCAAGACGACAGGTGAAAAGTCAGTCAAAATTGCTGGACAGAGGCAAAAGGGTTGGCATAGGCGGAAGGAAAGAGCGAAAGGGTGTCGCAAAAGGGGGTGAAGGAAGGGACAGAGAAGAGAATCAGTTGTTTCGACCCTTCGTCTTTCTCTCTGCTACTCGACAGTGGCGTCATCCCGTCGTCCCTACCCTTTGATCCCCCCAATAATCAATATATTCTAACATAACTCTAATGGCTACCCCATTTGAATACAGCCGAATCCACCCCACGGCTCTTTGCATCTCGCGGAGCTCCGACAATACCAATCATCCGAAATATTCCCTTTCTCTCTCTCTGTCATTCTTCTCGCCATGTTGTCTGCCAGGGTCCTCACTCTGCGTCCTGGGTATTAAAACTTTCGAGAACGAGACGCCCGCGGCTGTTCTTCCTCGACCAACCACCTCCTATCAAATTTTCTGCTATCGATGTCCGGTTATACGAGTGTCTTTTCTTCCGTTTGATTCTTTCTACATCTTTCGCCGTACTTACTTTGATACTTCAGCGACTTTTGTGAACTATTTGTTTCGAAGTTGAGGTCTGTGTTCATCTGAAATGAACTATTTATGTTAATATAAAAATTTGAAAAAGATTAATTTAATCATCCAACGAATATCTACAATCAACCATTAATTTCCAGTTCATGAAACTTGATCGAGAGCACTCAATGCACCTTTGTTTCGTACCTTTTTTCCCAATGGGGGTGGAAGGCGTGAACCCTCGACGAGGATAAGTCGAGTGAGCTAATAAATCAATTCCACGGCAAAAGCGGACGTCGACGTGGAACGGTTTCCTCTTCAGGTCGGTTTTCGGTTTCGAGTGCACTCGATCCGAAAATAAGGATTTACATATTCATGCAAAGATCTCGCGTTCGAGGATCCAGCAAAAGGAGACGACGTCGACCGAAGCGAGGATAGTTTGTAATGGGATTTTCACCCCGTTTCAAGTCCCATCCCCTTAACGCCATCACTTTGTCCCACTCTTTCGTTTCGCGATTTTGCGGTGGGAATTGTCCTGACGTATCGACGAGCTCTTCTTGTCTCTCGATATTGGATTTCAAAGTTTTCCCACCCTCTAGGGGTGCTTCGAAATTAACACTGGTTGTTTTACATCTAAGTAGAATTCCATTTAACAAAATTCCCAATGCAAATGTTAGGAAAATTAAAAAAAAAAAATTATCAAATGTTGTTAATGATTTTTTATTCCAAAGTCCAGAACCATGCAAACCTTTAATTCCGACGCGATGCAAGAAAGCTGTTCGACATCCCTGGCTGTCGTTCGCGACAACAAAAGCAATCGAGAAAGTTTCCTCGTAAAAGGTTTCAGCATCGTCCCGAAGGTAAATCAGATTGTCTCCTTTTGTACTTCGTTTCAAAGCCACTGAATCTACCCTCGGTACACGCGTAGACGCCTCCATTTCGCAGGCTGGTCACGTGCGATTTGTTTGAACTTTGCTTTTACTTATAGTTCCTCTGTTTCCGTGATCTGGCTGATACCACTTACCTGTCCTTGGTACCGCATCCCTCTCGACAACGGGGTTGTAAAAGGAAAAACGATTCTGAAAGTGTCGAACGAATGGTGGGAGAAGAAAGCGTGGAAAGAAGCGAGACAGGACGTGTGTGATAAAATGAGCGTTTATTGCGGAGGGGTGGAAGACACGAAGGGAGAGGAACGAATGAAAAGTTGTCACATTTGTTTCGCGGCGATAAAGGGCGATGCGACTCTCTCCAACTAAATCTGAAGCCCCGCAGCGGAGAAAGTTGTTTACAAAATATTCTCGCGATAGGACGCGATAAAAACGCTCGATGGGGAGGGTTCGTTGAAAAGAGAAATCTATTCCGATCGTGGAAATTCCAGGAGACAAACATCAGCATACACGAAAGAAAGAAAAAGGGACCATTTCGTTCCTTTTAACACTTATACTGAAAGCACTGGAAGAGTAGCATTTCGTAACTCGGTCATTGCCAGTCGAACAGGCATACCATCATGGTCGTCTGACTTCGAGTACACGAACGTTTCTACCGGACGTTGAATTTCGAGACACGAAGCGGTAGGATGATTGGAATTCAGAGTCGTAACCGGAGTCTCGATCTTCCAGAAAATAGGAACATCATGCTAGTACGACCCTTTCCACCTCCTCCCCCGCGGTCGGAACTTTATACTTTAAATCCGCCCTATAAATATCACGCTCCTTTGGTCTCGGGGCTGGTTTCCGAAAGATTGGCTCGCGGTATTCTTCGTGGGAATCGCTCACCGCTTTGCGTCGATATATCAAAGGATGAAGCCCTCTCCGATCCCCCACGAAACGATTCGTCATCCCCGTTTCTTGTAAAACAGGCCACTGGTTTTACGCGCCGTACCCACCGTCTGCCTAACCATTATCAATGCGAATAAAAAGACAGGAGGATATTGGCCTCGTGTCTACTTCATTTTGTAAATTGTTATTTTTTGTACGAAGCAACTGTCAGTTCGAGTGTTCAATTTTAATACCATCAGTCATTCGTTCCAGGATCTAGGACCTGGGTATGAGGGAGACGAAGACAAAAGATTGCCGATGTCCATATTTTTCACGAAATTCCTCTACGGTACAGCGAAGTGAAAGAGCAAACATGTCGCGGATCGTTGAAATAATTGTTTGCCAATGCGAACGTTGGATTTATATCTCTCGACTCAACAAGTGTTCCGGTCACGTTCATCCGATTATCGGAATTCTTCCGTCTGTCCGAGTGGCGGGTGTCCGCGAGGCGGCAATGATTTATCGACTACGGGATCGCTGTTAATCCCGTTGACGGAGAGTTCCTCTTGGTCCGGTTTTCGCGCGTAAAAATTCACTGGCTTTCCCTGTGGGAACCGTCGGTGAATCGAATACGGAATGCTAAACAGTCGAAGGGTTGCGGTGCGGTGCGGTGTCGTTCGCTGAGGTATACCGTCAGCAGCCGAACCGACTAGACAGGCGGTCGCCCAACCTCTCTCTTCTCCGCCAGGCGCTGCGCGCATTTAGATAAGTTAAACTATAAATTAGACGGATCACTGGTAGCTATTCGAGGAAATGTTGTCGGCGCCTGAATATGTATGATTTATACAAGGAACCCGACTCACCGATATAATTCCTGCCGCAGGCGTCGGTGAATCGCGGGGCTGCCGGTAGCTACTCTCTCGCTGTTCAATCTTTGTTCGACGTTAACTGTTTCGCAACGAAGGGTTAAAGGGAATCTTTGCCGGTTAGATTCGGAAAATTTGTTTACTTTGTTTCTCCCATATCGATGTTAGTCTAGAGAGGGCGAGATCCTCCAAGTAGGCGCTGATTAGAACCCTTGCCTCTCAATGATACTATCTTGCGAGGTCGGAAGAAACGGTACGCTGCTGTAGTGAAGCACGGAAAAAGGCAAGCTTCCCCGCCGGAAAAAAGTGCCTGGGGGCAACGAGACGAGGACTGTCGGTTGGGTGCGTCTTCCCGGTCCGCCGCTAATGGCGTCGTTATTTTAAAATACCACGATCATATTTCCCCGTGGCCCAGCAAGAATATGCCACAGCGAATCGAACTTAATCTACGCGAGGCGTTTTGTCTCCTCTCCTCGGCCGTTCGTTCTCGAAAGCGTCCCTGCTGCTCTAAATCATGTAAGGATTACGCTGGCAGGGCAAGGAATCAGAGGGTGGGAGGGAGGAGCGGAAGACGATCCACGCCCGGCCAACTCGCATTTTGGAAACATTTAAATTCTTATACGCGAATAAATAGCAAGAATTTTACGCGCGATAAAATATAGATTTCCTACGGGGTGCCCAGCGACACCGCCTCGCCTCTGGAAGGGTGGAAGAACGTGGTCATAAAATCATTGATATGAAAATATAGCCTTTTCATCCGACCTACCCCTCCTTCCCCAATGACGAAATCGTCCAGACATAGGGGATGAGCAATCGGTACACGGATCGGGGAAAAAAAATTTATACAAAGATCTTTTGTTCGGGTTTCGCTCGTCTGCTAGGGCTAGTTTTAAGGAGGTCCACGAGACAATGTTGACCAAATCAACGAGCCAAATCAGAACGATTAAAGTGAAGAAGTTAAGATGAAAGGGTGTTCGGTAAGTAAAGCCGAACGGCTTTTGCAGTTAGGGACTGGATATAGCAGCGCGAACAGAGCGCAGGAGGGTTCGCGTCGCCGGCATCTAATCCAATAATTTAATTTCAGCATCCCGGCTAACGGGGATTTGAAGTATTAGCCAACGGAATTTGTGTATCTTTGATTAGTATTCCATTCGGCGCTGCGCTCGGTCTTGCTCGATCGCGGTTATACACGAATCCTAAATCAACCACGTTTGTGTCTTTGCCTTTTACTAAGGACACCGTTTCTGCGGAGATTCAGCATCGTGCTATTTCGATTTCGAAATTCCCTTATCCATTCCCATCATCGCGAGTGGATTCAATTCCATCGCGCCCGTTGGTATTCACAAGATAGTCGTCGGATGGTTCGAGCGCTTGTTAAAATAAATTTTCAGCAATTTTCATCCACTTCCGTATCGTCCCATCGTAAGAGTCAGGGGGTAACGATTCGTGCCGATAGCGGTAGCAGCAGTCAAAGTTCATGGGTCGCGTGAAGCTTCTGGAACGCGCGATGCACAGGCACGTATATATGAACTCGCGGCCATAAAGTTCGAGTTTACAACGCGAAATGGACTGGAAAGCAAAACGCGCGCAAAAAAAAGAGAGGAGAATAACGAGGAGGCAGCATGGAAGCGGTGGTGGCGAAAGGATGAGCGAGGCCAGGTTTCGAAGGAGGAGGACGGAGTGTTGGGATCGCGGTCGTTGGACAGAGAACGAGAGGAATTAAGAGTGACAGAGGAAAAGAGAGCGTTTGGGGGTAAGGGATGGAGAAATTGGAGGGATGAAAGTGGGTGGAACGGAAAGCGTAGAGGGTGGGAAAGAAGGAGGATGAAGAGAGACAGAGAGAGAGAGAGAGAGAGGGGTAGGGGGAGGAGTACTAGCAGCAGTCAGAGAAGTAATATCCAGCGCAACGTTCCGGCAGGATGAGCTTTAATTGGAATATGGATCCGCTCTCTGTCGTTTCCCGATACTCCGATAAATTATCCTACGTACCATTTGCCCCGGAAAGCGCCACTTCAATTCGTTGCTACGTTCGAAGCGTAACACCTAGCTGAAAGAGATGATGCGCGCCATTCGAAGCGAATGAACATGATGAAGTGCGAATGTAGGTTTTAAAGCGACGCGATTAAGGTCAATTTGCCGTGATTCGATTTATGCCGCGTTCAATTAAAGCGAAACGCTATTCAATTGTAAAGGTACCACCCCGCGTGTTTCGTCTCAGCAGTGGACAGGGTGGGCTAGGTGACCAGAAATAGCAGCAAATAAAAAAATTTCTGTTCGACCTAATGCGAGGAATAGAAATTATTTAAATTAAAGAAAATATCAATTTTTGTGATTTAACGTAACCATTACCGGAGAAGAAGAAATATTGGTAATAAGACACCCTACAGAATCCTTAGGTGAGGAATTTCATATTCTTCTAGCAGTATCCATCAAGGTTCCGCGGGATGGCAGCGGCTCTTGTCCTGCATCGGTGGGCAGGTAAGAGCGATATATTTTCGAAGATTGTTTTCTCTCGTCAGGTAGCCACATACGTCACACGAAATCCCAAGAGGAAGGCTGGACGGGCAGCACGAATATACAGGGTATAGATCACAACTCGCGAAGCGTCGGCCAAGTCCCACGGCGGAACGTGGCGAATCAACTTCCGTCATTGCCCGCCATCCCAGTCCTAATGCCCAACATTTCTCTTCGGTCTCTGAACAACCCATGGATCTACAAATGGGTGTGAGTAAAACGTGAACAGATACGATGTGTCTATATACAATGACTGGTAAAAATATTTGCGTCCTCTCAATTAATCCTACGGTGGTCTCCTACCAACTCACAGTTCGGCACGGTGATTGTTAAATATTTCAATTATTACACATTTTTAAGTTAGGGTGAGTTATTTTTAATTGGTCCTTGGATTGACGCGATGCTGGGGACTATTCTATGACCATTTTTGAACCGAATACTTTTGAAAAGAGTTTTAGAATCGAGTGTTGATTCGAGTATCAGGTTAGAGAGGTTGATTTAGTTAATTAAGTGATCCGAATGAGGTAGGAAATGCAAGATGAAGTAGAAAGCATGGTGCAAAGGATCGGGACAACAGGGGGTGCTGTGTTGTTTTCCACTATCTGTCTTCGGATAAACGCGTGCGGTTTAGCCAATTCGCCCCTTGACCGAGAAAAATGGCTATCGGCCCTGGGAATACGTTTACGACCGCCCCGGGTCGAGTAATTCTATTACGGAAGGATTTTTTTTCGCTTTATACTCTATCGGAATCGGTGGTCTTTTTTATTTCAGAATGCTCGCACAGACCATTCGTTCCACTAATGAGACCCAAACGTCTCCAGGGAGCATCGATATATTTAGAGTTTGCACTGACACGTTGTTTCATAACGATTTTTAGGGGATTTGATGAAATTCTACAGGGAGGAAATCTGACAATCACGAATTTATCGATCTAATATAATATATTTCAATATAAGCACTCTTTCGTTGGCGCCAACATACAGAAGAATTACGATTATTCCAACCGCCATAACGTCGCATTTGCATTTATATTTTTACAGTTATCTGTACTACTTTTACCTAATTGCAGTGCTCTGATATTGTTATAGCAACCCTAGTTTTCCTTTTTTATGCATAGCCTGCGAATCAAGCCGTGGGACATTTGATTGCTCGATGGTACGAGGTATCAATCTTTTTCAAGGGCCAGCAACCCCAAGTCGACCGTGCAACGGACTCGATACCAGAGCATTTGCATGTCCTTTATGAAAATTCTATAGTTTATAGGCACATTTGTATGTATTATCGTATTAGCATATTCCAAAAGACAGCAATCTCAATATTGGATAGCGTAGTCGGGTTATATCGCTTGTTTACTACACCCCCTTCGACGAAAAAACGGAACCACGCACGTGTCCTCCCTTCTCGAATCAGGATCGAGCTCTTCCATTCCTTTTCTTTTCTCTCGAATTTTCAATACAAAGCATCAGAAAATGGTGCAACCCGACGAAGGGGGAAAAAAAGTTTTCCGTGAAACGAGCAAGTTTCCTATTGAATTCCGTAAACACCGAGCTCCGAGAATATATATTCGCGATACTGGCTTTGCATTTTTACCCTGTTGCAAAGTTTAACCGAATTTCCATCGAGGGAAAGTTGAATAGGAACTTAATTTTCGAATATCCTTTGAATTCGTTAACTCCATTAAATTATTGAAACTTATCCATTGATCAAACAAAATTTTTTGCATTATAGATCTATAGCAGCAATTTATGACGCCATTATACTATTTCCTAACCTCAAACGCGATAAAAATGCATGTCCTCTGTCGATACTGTATTCGAACGTAGGAAGGTCCATGGAGGGTTAGGTAAAACGCGAGAATCGCAGGAAACGAAGGAATCTGCATATTATTGGATCAATGCGTTGAGATCAGACCGTTTGGCGAAATCAAACCATTTGTACGAGAAGCTTTTCTCGTCCTACTGATATCATGTGCGAAGGCTCGTATACGTTGCTAAGCAACCATCCGGAGGGTGCCTTCTTGCCCGCATCGAGATGGTTTTAGTTGGTTTACTCATTTAGGCAGTAACAAGCTGCATGAAAGATATGGAAGAAATCTCGTGCGAAAGGAACCGAAACCGAGTCGAGTGAGGTTATGTTTGTGTCCGTCCAAGCATTAATTTTTTGAACTGACGTTACCTTAACCCCCAGGTATTATTTTGTACGGCACATGGGATAAATTGGGACCTAAATATATGAATTAGTAAAATACCTTTCATTTTGCGGTATGGGACGTGTGAAACTTAATTATAAGATTAATAGCGAATAAATACCTTAAGTACCCAGGGCACCTCTGGCTACGTCGAAGAAACCCCCTGCAACCGCTACCTACCTTAAGCATCTAACCTCCTAACTAAATTCCCCATAACCATCTGAACTATCGGTTATCGCTTAAACGGCAAACAGATAATACACTTCCGTGCAGATATCGAGTGTGTCGCCAGCCGGAGGTCGGCGTTCAGGGGGGTAAGGACCAACGATGTCCCCGGTGGGTACGATGGGTTCCTTGGTGGAGATCGATGCCACCCCCTTCTCACGGGAATCACCGTGGGCTAATCAAGCTAGTGCAGCTTCTAATACGCTGGAAGGCATTTAATCTCGACAACTTGCTAACGACCTGACCAACACACTATACATTCCCGATAAGCAAAGACCCAACAGTGGCAAGAAGCATTCCCCGATACCTTCTACGACGGCTTCGATACCCGCTGTCTCTGTTTGTCCCTTTCCTGTATTCCTCCCTTGATTTCACTTTCGCTTCAGAAACGAGCAAACCCTCTTTGGTCCACTTGGATGCTCGTGGTCGTTCGCGTCCACCTACACAGCTAACCGAACCGAGGGATAGGGGTAGGTCTAGACAAGCGAAGTCGTAGCAGGTTGAGAAGTGGGTGTCGAAGAAGAGGGCGTCAGGGTGAAATCCGTTCGGAAGGGTGGCTAGCATTAGGTGCACGTTTCTGTACTTCGTTGCCAGCCGAACTGTATCTCCATAGCGTTACTTGTCCCATAAACAGAGAGCACTATTCTCCAGTCGATGGTCTTCGGATACGATGCCGCTTGTGCCCCGAACAAGCTACACGTGCTACCTATATATCTATGGATATAGGGTATAGTTTCGCGAACTAGCGCCGTGCCATGCCAACCCAATTCAATTTAAACTTCGACGCTCGCGGAGGAGGCCGGATCGGGGTGGATTCGTAATGCGCACGCGCCACAGCCACTAAATCGCCCGAAATTAATGCGAGTTATTAGTTGACGGCGATAATTAGGAGGCAATTGCACGGAAAAGCGACGTGCCGTTGCGTCGAGGAGAATTCCGATGATCTGGCTCCGGCTGATCAACCCTTCCCTATCTAACAGAAGAGTGCTCCACTGAATTGTTGATCCTCGCCAACGATTCACTTCCTAATACTAGATCTCATATTACCAACATTAGAGAATATTTCAATTTATAACTGAACATCAAAAATTAAGGTACCTATCATTTTTGTTAATTCAACTAGGTTAGGTTTACTCAAAATCCTATAAAGGTACACATAACCTAATCTAATTTAGCCCAGGTAATATAATAGGTATGCGATCCCGATTAGAAAATCTACGAGTATAGGATTTACCGTAGTGCCGTTGGTATTTAGATGGAACGTGTATCCAGGGTAGAAATCCCGTCCCCCAGAAGTCATGGGAGAGCGGAGAGACTACAAAAGCATATTAGATACTTCCAATATTGGCTGCGGCTCAGGAGGCTGCGGTCTGCCCACAGATTCCCGACAAACGGAGAGAAGATACACGGTGCTGGATTTCCAACGGTTGCAATACACTTAACCCGATGTATATTTGCATGCACGCACGTACGCACGCATGCACGCACTTTGTCCAAGGAGGGTTGGATCTAGCTGAGGGAGAGACTGGTAGGTGTGTGTCGGTTGCTCGTTAATATTCATACAAGCCATGAAGCACGGCGTTGCACACTCGCGAGCTCGTATAAAGTATCGGTAAATAAATCATAATGTGTTATTGCGTATTTGAATATGTTTGACGCGAGGCTTTGGGGACGTCGAAAACCGGGCTGCTACTTGCCTCTTGCGAGGATGCGACGTCTGAAAGCGAATTGCCTTTGTGTTCAAATGATACCAATACTACTCACATTGGTTGTGAAAAATAATTGAAACATAACCTAACATATGTATATAAATATCGATCAGAATCTTAGTAAATAATGGCGGGCAGGTAACGAAACAGGTTAGGTTAGGTTTGAATTAAAATTAAAACTAACCTTAAAATTCAATTGAACCACAGATACCTCTAATCCAGGTTTGTCGTATTTTACTGACAATGAGATCCAATATTAAAAATGATATCACCATGGGGTAGTGCAATAATCGGTGGCACATTGAAGACGATGTTGGCGTTGTTATCGATTCCATGCAATGTTTCGGTGATTCATTGCTTCCCCTCTCCCAAGTATCAACTAGGGTGGTAGAAGCCATTGTGAATCGAAAGTAACGCAATATACACCCCACACATAACGAAGCGTCGGAGTGTAGGTGATATCGATGCTTTAAAATATCATACATATCTGCATATACGTAGGTATCGGCCCCTTCTTTCTGTCCACCCCCTTTCGGTTTTTTTCGAAGGATAAGGGCATCGTACTTAATGAGTCGGGGAGAGTTGGTCCGCAACCCTGGTTGCGGATCAACCCCCTTTGCACCCCGTTCGGTGGAAGGGGCTTGGCACCCGGGGGACGATCCTAACCTTACTTTGATGTTTCTGTCTTTGTTACTCGTTTTTTTCTCAGCCGTTCTCAGTTCACGTTGTCTGATTTATCAGCATTCTTCGAACCGTCCCGGTAACGAGGCTACGTTTTCGTGTTCCATGAGAGTAGTCACGTGTCAGAAACAAAATATGTCTTTTTCTTATTACATTTATACCACTCTTCTTGATTAACTTCTTCTGTGTTCTTGTTGAACGTGAAATATTTTAGACGCTCATTGATATGACGTAATTAAATGGCAAGTTTAATCAATCGGTCAGGTTGATTTTACAAAAGTGGTGACGGGGGTTGAGTGTCTGCCAACTAGCGTAAATTTTGAGTCACTGGTTGAACGGTGGAAGATGCTGTGATACGGGGGCATGTGTCGCGGTAAACTCAGTTAATTAGACAAGAGGCAACCATCGCCACCCCTCGACACCACCGAGGCTTGTTAATAACGCGTAATTACCATTATACACGGCGATACACTCTTCCAAGCCCACGTTGGCGACCCCATTAGATAAGACGACACCTTATTATACGCGAACTAACGTCGCTGTATCGTGCAACCACAAAACTTCGAAGCGTAGTGTCTCGGCATGGGATAAGGAGTCCCCTTTTCCTCATTTTCATCGAACGAAAATAAAGTCTCGTTAAGAAAATCGGGATAATTAAAGCAGATTTTAGTAGATATCTGCATAGTTAATTTATGGTTAATTTTATCACCATAAAGATTTTTAATATAGTACGAATACATTATTGAGTACTAAATGCCAAACAATTTCAAGTTCTTCAACTTTCACTTAACCAGCCGTCGCGTCGGTGGATGAAAAAAGAATTTCATATCATTTAGAATGAAATCAACAGCGGTATAGCAGCGTTTAGCGCTTAATTACGAGAGCAAACAAGCTCGGGAGCCCCCCTTATTGCGTGACCTCCTCGAGCGTGTGCAGCCTCTAGCCGCTTCTTTTACGATTTATGTCATAATCACCTGAAAGATAGGTCCCGAGGAACACCGCGAGTTCCCCTTTGGCCCTCGGTCTCCTCTTCAAGCCGGGTTCATTCTTTCTCGAACGAGGAAGCTCGGAGTCGCGCGAGCTGGAGCATAAAATGCATTTAGGGTTAATGCGACGTGTATCGCGCGCAGGCCGCTTTCAATGGCCGCCTGGAAAACGCGAAACGAGGCGGCTCGTGTAACCACCAGCTGGACCCCGTCTGAACCCTGAACGTTAAATGTTAAATGCCAGCCATTCACTATTATCCCGTCTTTTTTTTCTTGTTCTTGTGCATTTTTTGTTTTTTTTTTTCTTTTTTTTTACGTAGTCCGCACCCTCGACTTGTGAAAATGCGTATCAAGCGTATGCGTTTACGCTTGCCGCGGCTACGACGACTTTGGACCATCAACGGTGCATGCTGTTTCGTGCTTCGTGGTTTTCCAACCGAGCAGCAAGGGACATTAAGAAAGGGTGATGACTCCTTCACGGATGCCGTGAGACAGCATTGTTCGACACCGCGTAAAAAGCAGCAGAGACATCCGCTTTGACGTTCATTTTCTATTTACCTCTTTGTCCCAAGACCTGGACTCTGCCTTTGCATTCCTTCCCCTTCTTCGACCGCTACGCTCTGCCTAACCTGTTGTTAACATTCAAAATGATGTTTACTGGCGGAAAAAGTTTGTGAAAAGATGTAATTTTGTTTAGTCTTTTAATTCTGTTTCCAAATATTGTCAACTGTTATTTGAGGTTATGTCGCTAGATTTGAACAGTTTTCCTGAATACGTAACACAGTTCGAGGTTTACGAATCTTTAAGGTTATCTAATTTTTATCCTGCAAAATATCGTTATATGTATAGGATAAGAAGAGGTGCTCTGAAAACGAAGCCGAGATGACGTTGGCAACCGTACGGACGCTTGGGCATAGTATTAGAATCCAAATGATCCCATTACGAGAACAACGATAAAACTAACAAAGATGGAGCCGCGATGCTGCTACGAAGACTCGTTTCTGAAGTTAAAATTGAGGGGTGCCTCGACCGAGACGCGCGTCTCCGTACACATCGAAGTAGTACAAGAAGAGGGGGCCAGTCTTGCAATTTTCATTATTTTTACGCGAGAATTTTTCTTGCCCTCCTTCCATCGCCAACTGCTAGGACCTGGTCGAACTTTACTTGAACACCATCCACGTGATCTTTCCCTTGGTTTTCCCATGAGGTTCGAAGGACCAGGTTACTGTGAAAATATTTCTTTTTCTTCTTTTATATGAAATTAATTCGGAATCGTCTTCGCTTTGGGAGTAATTTCATTATTTTTTCATTGTTGAGACATCCTTAATTGAAGTGTTGTAATTATTATAAAATAATAAGAGTATTTCGTCCCAATGATAATTTGAAAAAAAGAAGAGAAATGAATTATTCATTGGTGTACCGAAGTAAGTTAAAACGTGCTTGGATCTACCGTAATGCGAAAACGCCATCTATTACCACCGCCATCATATGCAGATCCTAACCTCTCCAGTAGTTATTCTTCAGTTCATCCACTAGAATAGGAGGTAGAAACGTAACCGTGGATAGGTAAAAATCAGTCGGCACAGTCAAGCCACAAAAGCAAGGGAAGTTAACTCGATCGTACGATGAGAATTAGCGTGGTACTAGCGAATCAGCGGGTCCCGGGCTTTCCACAGAGAACCGTCGACTGCCCCTGGCGGGTTTCGAGTAGCTACACGGAGGATGCGGAAAGGCGTCATCGTCCGTTGAGGTATAATTTACACCCAGGCCCCCAACCAACACCGTCGGGCTGAAGAGTAGTAGGTACCTACTACTAGTAGGCTGCTATCGCGTACATAGCTCCGCCAGGTACGACGACGTGTATATATTGTATATATATACATATATGTATATGTATGTATAACCGTGTACTCGGGGGCGTAGAAAATTTCATTCCCGCGGTTGGTTTCGTCCCGTGAACGAGTGCACCGGCAGGCGCGTGCATGTACGCGTGGAAATAATGCACGAGTGTGCCGTGAAACGAGTACGAATGCGAGTTACCGGTACCCCGGGTACCGGCATACGTGCTTCCACCTCTCGTACACGCGTTCTTCTGCAACCACCCTCTCGGTCGACCCCGTTCCTCATCCCCTTGATCCACTCTCGCCCATCCACGTAACCTCCCCCTTATTCTCCGCAGGAGCGCACCAAGGCATTTAGAGACCTTTTCCCCGACTCATCAGCTTTGTGCTTTTGCCGCAGCGGCGTCGGCGGTGGCGGCGGCGACGGCGGCCACGGCATGTGCCAACGAGTAATAACCGCAGCTTTTGCCCGCCTCAAAAACATGAATTTTCACTTCAACTTCCCGTTAACTGTGCCCTCGCGAACCAGCTAAGTAGAAAGTTAATTTTTTAATTATCCCCGCGATATCACTGGAGGTTATCCCGAGCTACGGCTCGATGAGACTCGGCGACCAATTGGGAACTTGGACCCACGGAAGGAGCTACGCCACCACCCGTTCCGTGTCGGGTTATGACGATCGTTCCGCTTACTCTCGGCTAATGTCACCTCGTAAATGCGCTCGTATTAGTCTTTCCAGTGTAGGCTTCGGTTAAAAGGAAAGTTTCTTAGCACTGTTCTCTACTCCTTAAATTTGATGAATATCATCGTTGGTTATCTCGCGACGCTGTTGCCTTGCTTTTAATTAAGACAACGAAACGGCGTAAGCCAAATGTTTGAAAATATTGACTTGGGAAAGAAATAAAGGTTATAAGTTTAACTCCATACTTATTTTGCTTTCAGAATTCGCCACCAGGGGGACAAGTTTCCCTTAAACCTAACCATGCTGCATTTTTCTTATGTTTTTTGAAAATTTTATACTGCTGTGATAGGCACTTGTCATAAAAAAGAGAAGACTTCAACTATCCCGCATCTAACAATAAGACACAGACCTACTTGGTAGCCTTATTGACAAGTCCACTAGTAGTTCCAGGACGAAACATCCTTCCTTCCTTCCTTCCTTCCTTTCCTTCATCTCACTTCCACAGCACAAGCTCCATAACTTTATTCATCAAATTTATCACCAGCAAACTTTTTTTACTTCTCCAGTTGAAATTTACTTTGAAAGGAGGAAGATTTGCCGCCACAAAGGAGACAAAAGAAATTCACTGAGAAACTTGAAGATGATACTGAAACAAGTGTTCCGGTAGTACTTACTTTCAAAGAGGAAGAAACGCCGGAAGCAATGTGTTTACATTGGAACTCTCTGTTGCCGAGACTTAGCCCTTGCACGACACTGGAAGGGTCACTTGTGACCCAGACCTACGAAACGTGTGATTATCAAAAAATATTGTAAAAATCTTACGGCAGTGCAGCTAGTGTCGTATAATTACAGAGAATGGTAAATTAGATAGCGAGTCGGACACGTTCCCGTTTTCCAGCCGCTAGGACGGCCATTTTTCAAAGCGGCCGCATCGTGTCGGGGCCGGTAAAAAATCAGGAAACATGTGTATCGATATACATCCACGGTAGGGACACGTTGGTCGTTACACTGGCTACTTTGCCTGGACAAACAACAGGACCTGTTAACACAAAAGAATCACCAGCTTTTCTTCTTTTTTTTTTTTTTTTTTTGGTCGCTAGCAGGACTCTGGTTCAGCTCGTGTAGAACGAGCGTTACGTTGACGATCCTGAAACTAGCGAGACGATTTCGCGGGCAAAAAAAGGGGCAGAGGAGCAACAGAGAAGAGGCAGAAACGTGGAGGCAGAGGTATATAAGGCCGTTTCGTCAGTCTCGTTGTCACGGTTGTCGCGGAATGAGAACGTACGGCCAGCTCGTATTTTAATTCCGCGGACAGAAGCACCCCCCTCTGGACTGGGCTGGCCCGCGGGGTCACCCCTTTCTTCTTCGCGTCTCCTATGAGCCCTCGCTGTTGGCTGGCTGTTCCTAACCGAGTCGTCGCGACGCCGGCCGCGTTGACATTACCCCGCATAATATTTAATAATTATTTTCATTAAAGTCGTAATAAAGTTTAGAATACTTTATTAATTTATAGGCCAGGGGAACGCGTTTAAAGGGCGGCTCTCTTCCTGTGCTGCGTCTCGCGGCAATTCGTATCAATTATCGTTCGTTCACGTGGTTGGATTAAGGAGTTCGCAGCCTTTTTGGCGAGTTTCTTCGAAGCTTCCTCTCATCGACGCCGACTTAACATTCCGGTTGACCAAGCCGAGTTTTAATTAGAAAAAAGATATCCGCCTCGTCCACGTGGCGTCTACGTTAGGTGATGATTTATTTACCGCTCGAAACGCGCCACGGATAAAAAGTTAATTAAGAGGAATTAATTACCGCCGCGACTCGATGTAATGTAAATTAATCGCGAGGAACTACCCGTTAGAATCGTAAACAGGTAGAGGCAAGGAAGAGAAACGGCGTAACGCAGACCCATGCCGGTGGGCTCGTTGACAGAGGGCGCAGAAGTGCAGTCGGCTCTGCGAAAAGCACAAAGGACGGGGAAAGAAAAGGGAAATCCTTCAGACTGTTCGCTCGACTCCGACGGAATAAAGGGGTTAACGAGATGGAACGGAAAAACAACGAAAAGGAGAATAAACGTGTCTTCTCAAAGGGGTGAAGGATACAGTTTCCTAATTTTATTTCGAGAAGAGCACTTTTTCTCCGGCTAGTCTTTGAAAAAAGTACCTACCCATGCAAGTGGTACTAGAAACAAAACGGCAAGATTCAACCCCCCACCCCCTCCCCCGCCCCTCAATCTGTGCTGCGTGCCGCGTCTGCACCACCCTCAACCCCTATATTTATTATGTTATACTTTGCGTGGTCCGGTCTTCCTTACGCCTGAATTGAAAAAAATCTTTCTCCCTCCAGACGAGAGACGTATGCTGCTGTAAGCAAATCGCGTTATCCAACGTCCGGAACCATCTCGACACTCTGAAAGAAATTAAAATAAATGCATATCTTAATTAAGCTCCGGCTCTACCTCATCTACCGAGTGACTGAAAACCGAAACCGACCGGATGGATATTTTCAAAGATGAAAATGATGTTCCGTCTCTCGTATCGTATAATGCAATTTTTCTTGCCTTTGCGACTGCTAAAATTTTGCAGCGATATATAATTTATTAGATGTAATAAATTTTTTGTCAGGTCAGGGGTAATGAGAAATTTGATGCAATTGAAATTTTAAAAATACATTGGAAGCAAAATGTAGATAATATTAGATCTAACAGTAATGATTCTTATGATAATTATACTAGCTGCGGTGGGGGTGATAGTAGTAACGCTTCATCGGATTCGTATTACACGTAGGAAAGTAACA